GTTTTTTTTTTTTTTTTTTTTGTTTTAGCGGCTATCTTCAAAAATATTTTGATTAAATTGTGGCAGCAGAAAAAATAGTAGCGTTTTCCTATAACAAAAACTTAGAGAATCCTATAATATTTCAGTAAAAATTTATTTTTTACGCTATAATTTTTTTAATGAATCGATTTGCTGAAAAATGACTGAAAAAGTCATGTTTCAATCATATATTTCTCATTAATTCACAAATAGAAATATTCTTTATTTCTACTGTGACTACACTTAAGTAGCGTCTGTTAGTTTTGATTGTAAGTTTTGTGCAAAATTATATATATATATATATAAATATATATATATATGCATGCTAGCTTACGTGACTCTCTTTATCTTTAATTCACCCTTTTACCTTGTTATAACCGATTTATAAGCTTTTATGCATATTGCTCTATCAATTTAAGAAATCTATTTCTCTTTTCCATATATGGAAAGAAATAAATCATCATATAATAATTAAGAAACTGCAATAGAAATGAAATTATAAGAAAAGTTTGTGATGATTTTTAATGTTTTCTAATAAGTAATTTAATCAGTATGGTCAAACTATATATATTTATGTATATAATATCCTATATGTGATGACTACAACTGAATTTGTATGTAGTAATTGTTCTACTCGTAATTATCGAAACGTCGAATACAACATATAGCTCTATAGTAGGTGAGTTGTGGCCATATATATCATCTGAAAATAGCGTAAACTATTAGAGAAAACAAACATCGATTTAATTATTTTGAATTATGTTATGTCTCGATAAGTCCCCTTATGAATATTTGCTAATTAATTCTGATGAAAAATAATGGGGAATTGCAGAGAGAAGACATGGCAAACAAATCTTACGAGGAGGCCATTGTTTCCCTCCAGAACCTTATCAGGTTTGGACCATCAATCGTATCTATAGCATTATATATACATGAAATCATGAGATACTTTTTTTTTTTAAAAAAAAGATCATGGTATCCAAAAAAGAATAAACTAATTAGATATGTATTTTACTAAATTAATCTTATTAATGATGACTTGGAACTCTAAATTGGATAAGTTAGGAGTATTCTTTCAGAGTTTCTCATAAAAACATCCTTAAATTATACCTCAAACTTAAACTGCAGCATGAAAGTCCTTCAAATACTTAAATCATCCTTCTATTAGATATCATCAAAAACTAAAAGATCTTATAAAAGAATGCTTTAAGGATATAGTTTAATTATGATTTTAACCAAAAACTCTAATACTCTACATAGTTATTAATTTCATAAATTAGATGAATAAAGTAAAATAACTATCTTTATTATGAGGGTCGAGTAATATGAAATAGAAAGAGTACATGCTACTATATTTATGTAGTTGAGCTATTTTCGAAGTTATACCACATATTTTTAATTATAATTTAAATTTCTTAAATTAGACTTATAAAAAATGATGAATTTAAGTTTTCTGCATCGATATATAATTAATATTATAAATTTGAAAGTCATGACATTTTTTACAGTGAGAAGGGAGAGCTGGGACCATTTGTAGCAGAAAGAATTGATGAAATGACAGCTGAGTTACAAACAAGCAGTAAACCGTTCGATCCAGTTCACAGGATCAAGTGTGGCTTCAATTATTTCAAAACAGAGATATATGAGTAAGCCTCTTTTTCATATTTATACATCATAGTAATATTATTTTTTTAAAAAAACATTGAAATTAAATTATAGTAATAAAAAAAAACTTAAAATGATAACTGCCTAAAAATAATATTTTGTTACGTGTATCAGCAAAAATCCAGAATTGTTTGACAAACTCAAAAAAGGCCAGGAACCCAAGGTACAATATGTTATTCAATAATTGGTATTTTAAATAATCAAGAATACATTAATAATGTTTTATATCGTTATTTTTAAATAAAGATAATTTTACATAACCAACAAACTACTGTACAGTTTTTTGTGTTTGCGTGCTCGGATTCACGAGTGAGCCCATCCCATATCCTCAATTTCCAGCCCGGTGAGGCTTTCATGGTTCGAAACATAGCCAACATGGTCCCTCCTTATGACAAGGTCATTATACATAATTAATTTTGTTAATTCTAATTATTTACCTGATTTTAATAAATTTATATTGGAATTAATCATTGTAACAGCTTAGGTACTCTGGAACTGGAGCTGCTATCGAGTACGCTGTTCTCCATCTTAAGGTAGAAAATATTCTAGTCATTGGACACAGTAGTTGTGGAGGTATCAAGGCTCTCATGAGTCTTCCAGAAGATGGTTCTGAATCAACGTACGTATCGTAATTTAAGTTATATACACTGATCGATAATACAACATGACTAATTGAAGAAATTATACGTATATGTGATGATATTTCAGTGAATTTATTGAGAATTGGGTGAAAATTGGGTTACCTGCCAAGGCCAAGGTGCTAGCTGAGCATCCGAATATAAGTTTTGAAGAACAGTGCAAATACTGTGAAAAGGTAAAATAGTGTTATGATCTCAGATTATATATAAAATTTCTGACTTCGTCACTGGAGTCCGCTAATACTGCTATTTTATTATTGATTAGATATGCATTTACTAAAAATAATGGAAATGAATAAACTGCAGGAAGCTGTGAATGTATCACTAGCCAACTTGCTGACCTATCCATTTGTGAGAGATGGTTTGGTGAATAAAACACTGTCATTGAAGGGAGGTTACTATGATTTTATTAAAGGAGAATTTAAGCTATGGGGACTTCACTTTGGTCTTTCTCATCCTTGTTCTATCTGAATTCAACTACACCATTTTTCTAGTGGGAGAATAATACACCTCTTGTTCCTTTTTTATCTTTCTTGTTGTATTCGTCTACGTAGTTTAAATGACTAAATAAAATAGAGGATAAATTCTCCCGTTTTATGATATAAGACTAGTGGTAAATTGTTTTATGTTCATTATATAAGGTATAAATAATGTTTATGTACGTTCTGCCCATTTGGGTTTGTTGTAATAATGACTCTGTACGTTCTGCAGAGGGAATTAAAATAAATTATATTGGCTCAATATATTTGTTTTACTACTAGCAAATTATATCATGACATTCGTAAAACGAAAATTCTTTTCGCACTTAATTAGTAAAACTATGTCACATGTCACAACCTGTGAACAAGACAACATTTGCTTATATGACATTACTGGTGAAGGCAATTTGTATAAAAAAAATAAATTAAACTCGCACGCGAATGTAACTTATAAAATCTTAATTTTCTATTGTTCCAATCCTCATTAGCTTAATAAAAATTATTTTAGCATAATTTATCGAACAGGGGTTAAATGATTCTAAAATTGGCCCCTTGGAAAATAATTTTACAAGTCAACATAAATAGTTAATATTAAAAAGTTAAACATTTGAAATTTACATCTACAACTGTATTTGGGTCTGAATAATTTGATGAAAATTTTTAGTTGTGGAGATCACAAAAATGACGTGATAGTTAATTTCAGATGCCACGTCACTGAATCGGCGTCCATTTTGAAAAGCTGAAACAGTCTCTGTAAGAAGAGGAACTCCCGGCCAAAGATTCTGAGATTTCGGAATTTTTCCTAACCGCCTTTTTCGGCTTCTACTCTACTTCGATTCATCGGTATTTTCCGGTGTTCACTTCACTGTAATTTGCATAGCAAGTGTGAAAAAAAGAGTGAGAGATGGGGAATTTGTGGTCGGCCGCCGTAGAACCTCCACCGCCTATTGTCTTAGTTCCGCCGCTCTTCGATTTTCCTCCTCTCGCCGCTCGTACAAGGTTATTCTAACCTCTATTCTCAAATTATCACTATTTATTTTGTTTGATATGTTTTTTACAATTTGGTGGCTCACCCTCACCCTCACCCTCACCAACAGTTATTAAGTTTAAGTTAGATAGTGAACTGATATCCTCAAATGGAATGCTAGCTTCAATTTGGGAAATCGAACTAATTTTTGCCTCTTCATCCATGATTTAGTTATATAATATGGTATTTGTGCGGTGTAGGATGCTGGAATCATCATATAACATGTTGTTTGGGAAACTGGCATTGAGATGCCTTTTTGAGGATTATTTCGAGGAAGCGAGGCATTTTAGCACCAGAATTATGCTTAAGCCAATTGATGATCCACACGTTGATTTGATTGCAACTGTATCCATCTACAGTCTTATGAATTTGGTAATGTTAGTAGCTAGTATGCGTTTTCAGTCTTTTCAATTTCTTTTATTTTGTTAATGTGCTTGTGAGCATAGGTCAGGAAAATGTTCCAAACATTTTCACACCAGAATTCACTATTAAGAGGCAAGAGCAGTTTCTACTTGAAAAGGTTTTGTTGCTGGTCAATTCGAAATATGTAGCTTTGCTATTTCGATTGTCTACAGAGAGAGAGAGGTTTAACATTTTTAAGTCAGTGGCTGTGGATTTCCATATTATCCATTATTCCTTTGTGACAATGTTTTGAACTTAGCATAATTATATGTTTTTAAGGTTTTTCGGTAATATATATATGAATGTTAAATTGGTCGAGCTGAAGTTGTAGATGCGCTATAAATGCAGTCTTCATCCTCCGCGGATTGTCAAGGTCTAGTGTGCAAAATTCACCTTCCTCAGTAGTTTATGTGTCTTCACAATAATAGTTCTCAACTTCATCAACTGATTTTCCCATGTAAAAGATTACTTTAGGCCTTGTCCCGTGTGTTCCATCAAGTTGTCTATGGACAGTATTTTGGGTATAATTTTAACATTTTCCTTGCTTCATGACGGGTTAACTTGACAAGAAACAAAGTTTTTCCTTAGCCTTCTTAGGTTGGAGGCCCGCTTGACCACAAGCCTGAGGAGAAAATTGTAGGAAATGCACAATTTCGGTGGCAAAGGTATCATTATCTTTGCTTTGATTTTGTTTTGGCTTCTTGAAGATTTCTGATGTGATTTGCATATGGTAAACTTCTTGGTTATCTCTGAAAATCTAAATTGTGTTCCAGTGATGTTGAGGATCCACATACATTTGTTGATCTTTTCGTATCAAATGATGATCCGTAAGTCTCAATCACTTCCCTAAGAATTTTTTTCCTTTAGATTGAAGAACTGCAGTACCATTGTTCTTCCATTTGCTTTTTTTCCAGGACATTGCTGATGAGATCATGTGCATTCTACCCTAAATTTGGGTTTGGAGCTTTTGGCATTTTCCCAGTCCTTTTAAAGAAAAGGTTGGTTTGATTCTGTTATAAACCGGGATCTCAGACTTGTTTGCCTAGATTTGTGAACGTGCACTGACTGACATGATCATTTTGAATGTCCAGAGTATCTTCACAAGATTATGGAGTCATGGGTTTGAGATATGGCTCATCAAATCTCTCGGTTGGAGCTACTCTTATGCCTTTCGCTTGTATGTAACATGCAATGATTAAGTAAATCTTTATGTTCATATATTCCCCGGGACCTGTTTCTACTTGAACTTGCTTTTACTAAGTTCTCTAGTCTGGACATTCCTGTATATTAGCTGCGAGTGGAATAATCTTTGTTATTCCTTGTTTAATCCAAAGTGGACTAATGAATGTTCATGCAGTGGGAGATGATGTTCCCAAAAGTGCATGGCTGGTGAGCAAAATGGGAAGATTAACCACCGGGGTGCAGTATGAATCACAGTGTAATTTTCTTGGACACTACTCACTGACTTGGTTTCCTTGGTAAAGATATAATAACTATTCAGTCACTAGAAAACAATATATACTCCTGACTGGAAAATTTGATTTTGTGCTGATTAATTCAACAAAAAGAAAAGAAAATTGTTCTTGTCCAAAAGATCCATCTGGAATTTCGTTATCCCGTGCTATATGCTACATTTTGTCTTATTTTTCCCGTATATGCGTCACATATCTGACCTTTGTCTACCAATAAAATAAGATGTGCAATACATGTTTCTAATCCTGTGCATGGAATCCAGTTGCTGTGAACATGCATGGCCACTTCACATGGTGGAAGTGCTTTAAGCTTATTTTGATGTTTTATAGTGTAAAAGCTTGGGTATCTAAGAGAAAATGTTCCTCTACAGTTCATAAATTGCTTCTTGATCCAATGATGCATGCATGCATAGTGAGTGCGAGAGAGAAGAATAACTCAAAATTCATATGGGATGGTATTTTTATTGGTTCTGTTTACTTTTGATAGTTGGTAGCAAAAGTGGCCAAAAGTTTAAGAACTTAGAAAATTGGAGCTGTGCCATTGGCTATGGAGTGGGATCAGGCAGCCCTTTGAGCCCATCCTTCAATTTTGGTCTTGAGCTTGCGAAGAGTTCACAGGTTTGTTGCATTTCCTTCTTTCAGTGGTGTGCTAAGCTCTTTTTTGTGCTAGTTTTCTGAACTGCCACAAAATCCTAGTTTTCGTTTGTTGCTGTAGACATTAGGGCCCATTTCTACACCCATTTTTGTTGGATCAGATGAATATTTTATGAAGTTGTATTGGCTAGATAGTAGTTGGTTATGAACTGACTGTTTTTGATTGTGTACTTCATATTTTTTACATGTGGTACACTTATAATATTTAATCATTTTTGCTGCAGTTTATTGCTTCATTCTATCAACACGTGGTGGTTCAAAGACGGGTATGCTTCTCTTCCTTGAGGAAATGTCATTCAGTATGTTTAGCATCGTTGTTTTTAAATGCAATTTGGATTTGCTTCAAATCAAATTATTTTTGGAGGTATTGTCTGTTTTAATCAGCAGCATGTGATGATAAAAGTGCAATTTTGCTGAACGTTCCACAAGAATCATGTTGCATAATATGCCACTAACTCCTTTTATCTTGGATTTGGATATTTGTTATAGTTAATCTGTTTTTACGCCTATTTAGTACATACAATGTGTTCTCTGGGTCTTGGCAATTAGTTTTTCTTTTCTGCTGATTTGTCAAATAGGAAATATGCATCAATTGTTTCTATGGATTTGAAGTTGTATAAACGTCTGTATAATAGAACATTCTGTAATTTTAACTATTCCTTGGTTTAAATGAGACCTCATGTATTGGATTATCTCTGCCAGTGCGGAAAGTATGCATAGTCCAATTCTTTAGGAGTGGTGTGCAACAGACAATCTGGAAAGCAAAAGAGTACACAGGAAAATCATTTGAGGTCATACCACTAATCAGATTAGAGAGGTGGTTTCGCTGTTAGTTTTCCGAAAAATACAGGGGTGATAAAAATTGTTTCTACTGTAAAAAGCTTTAATTTGAGTTCTCTGGTTTTGATGAAGATCTAATTTGAGAAAAGAAACAGAACAATGTGTGCTTTGGTTACTTTGATTTACTGCTTTTGACATTATTCTAGAAGTTTTCTGTGCTTCATTTAAGGTAGTACTGATACAAGCAATTTATGTAATATCAGGTGAAAAATCCACTAGAAGAAGACGAAGTAGTTGGAATTACTAATTATATAGATTTCGGGTTTGAGTTGCAGACAAGGTATTCTGAGATGGTGTAGTAAGCTCTAGGCTGGCCAGAGTAGAGTAGGATCTGACTTGGTTGTAAACTATTGTGGCAGTGTAAATGATGAGAAAGCTCCGGCCAGCAGCATCCACGACTCCACTTTTCAAGTTGCTGCATCTTGGCAAGCTAATAAAAACTTTTTGGTCAAGGTAATCACCTTCTGGATTCTCTTATGCATACTAACCAAAACCAGGGGTACTAATAACTGCAAATGTTACTAACACAGGGAAAGGTGGGGCCTCTAAGCTCATCTGTAGCTTTGGCATTTAAGTCTTGGTGGAAACCTTCCTTCACTTTCAATGTTTCAGGTAATAGTGATTTATGCTACACATATAACATAATCAAAGAGTGTATTTATTTTATTGTTGTTATTACTTATTTCATCCCGCCCCTGAACACTAACTGTATCACAGTATGTGCTAAAACAATATCGTGAAAGAATAATTTGACTGTTGGATTTTCATGCCAACTGGTGTCTAGATCTGCCCTTCTCATATTAATAGGTATAGATCAGAAGTGTTGAGCCTCAGTGGCTGATGATATCTTATAATCACTTTATATTGGT